TTTCATTTTATTACAGAATATTAAGTTGTAAAATTTGCTGCTGTTGGTTGCTGTGAGTCGATTCTGACTCACCCTGACCCCAAGTAAGTAAATAATTAATATTTGCATGCACCAAGATTACTATGCACTGATAAAAATTATTTTAGAAACAAGTTCATAAATAAATATTAGAAAGGTCTTAATCTAAAATTAGAAAGAAGTTGAGTTTCACCTCCTTTTTTTCCTTCTTTTTGCACATAAAAATTCATACTTACAGAATGTGTGAAGCTTAAATAACAAGTTTTTTCAATGCCAGTTTGGTAGCTGTATATGAAATCTTAACCCAATGTATTAGAATTCAACAAAAAGATTAGATATTATCAATATCAGTAAGTTACACAAAACACACAAAATGCATATTAGAGAGTATGGAGTATTTTCAGTCTTATTTTGATTATTAATTACATCAAAAAGTGCATATGTAGGCAAATTCTCTCGATAGTAAATTTTGCAATAAAAAAATCAAAAGAATTCCAACAATTTAATTGGGTTAATGCCCCTGAAAAGTTATTCATACCAGTAATTTAGTCTGACGAGTAACATGAATATGAACATATACTTGGAATGATGCACAGCATTTATCAATAGAGGTGCCGAAGGCCTAGAATGAAGACACTACATTTTCTGAAATAAATTGTTCTTGTTATGGTCCTGTTATTGCTCAGGAGCTCTGGTAGCATAGTGCCTAAGACATTTGACTGCTAACCAGAAGGCTGCTGGTTCAAACCCACCAGCTACTCCTCGGAAAGAAGACTGGGCAATCTACTTCCGTAGTGAAACTGTCTCAGAAACCCAAGGAGGGGGTCGCTATGAGTTGGATCTGATTCGATGACAGTGAGTTTAGTTTTTTTGGTTTTGTTATTGCTTGGAAAAGGTTCAGAATGGATTGAATCAACCTATTAGCAAATACACATGACAAATCCAGACATTACTAGGATCCTACAAACCAAAGACTGTGAAATGGTAGGGTCCTCAGATTACTGTACAGATTACTATACTCCTTCTTGTTTTTGGACTATTGTGTGTTTTAATACTCTGTACTTTTCTTTCATAACACTTACAGGGAGGTAAAGCTGTATAGCTACTACTGTTTGGCTTACACCACCACCAGCGGAAAGTTCCTTGGGGTCAAAAGCATATCTGTTTTGTTCCCCACTGTATCCACAGTAGGAGGTCTGGCTGCTAATAAAAGGTTGGGGGTTCCAACCTACCAGCAATTCCCTTGAGATGGTCTACTTCGTGACAGATTTACCCTATGGGGCAATTCTACTCTGTCCTATTGGGTCTCTATGAGTTGGAATCAACTTGATGGCAGTGGGTTTGTTTTTTTGGTTTGATATCTACAATACTGAACACAATACCTGGCTCATGATAAACCAAAACATGAGCCAGGTATTACATTCAGATTGTGGATATCAAACCAAAAAAAACAAACCCATTGACATCAAGTTGATTCCGACTCATAGTGACCCTATGGCACTAAGGAGAACAGCTCCATAGGGTTTCCAAGGCTCTAAATCTTGTGGAAGCAGACTCCTCAACTGTCTTCTGGAGAACAGCTGGTGGGTTTGAACCACTGACCTTCTGGTTAGCAAGAGAATGCTTTAACCACTGCACCACCAGAGCTCCATGGCTCATGAGTTTGGTATTTGTTCAATGAAAAGAAAGGAGGAAGGGAAGTTTGAGAGAGTGGGATAAGAGAGGGAACTCAGAAAAGGGGGAAAAAAGCTTTCTGTTCTGTAAGGTCATTATTAAGGAGCTCTGATGGCACAGTGCCTAAGGCATTCTGACTGCTAACTGAAGGCTGGTGGTTCCAACCACCAGCTACTACGATTTATCATCTTGGAAACCCACTGGGGGTCTCAATGAGAAGGAATCGAGTTGATGGCAGTGAGTTTGGTTTGGTTTTTTAAGGTCATTATTAAGAAAATATAAAGTTACTTTCCTCCCGCAAGATGAATCTTTAATAAACCAATTTAACAAACCAAAAAAAAAAAAAAAAAAAGACCAAACTCACAGCCATTGAGTTTGATCCGACTTATAGTGACCCCTCCTTGGATTTCCAAGGTGCTATCGCTACAGAAGTAGATTGTCCAGCCTTCCTTCCAAGGAGTGGCTGGTGGGTTTGAACCGCCAGGGGTTAGGTTGGCAGTCAAATGCCTTAGGCACTACACCATCAGAGCTCCTAAGCTATTTAATAGTTAAAAGAAAAAAAAGGAAAAGAAGTTTGTGCCTTTAATTTAGTCCACTTTGAGACTCAGAATCCTCAATAAACAAACTACAGGCTGAGGAGATGCATTAGTCTGTAAACCCATGATAAAGAGCAATCATTTGAGTTCCAGAACAGAACACCTCCCCACCTCAGACTTGTCTTCAATTCTTTCCAGTATGAATTTAGAAAATGCTGCTAATCCACGGAGATGTCAGGTAACCTACCAAGGACGCTTATTAAAATGTGAAAATGCCACATCCAAATATGAGATTTTGAAATTCCTATAGAATTATGATTTCTGAAGGAAAGCACAGATGCACAAAACAAAAACTAATTTAGAAAAAAAAATCTAGAATTCAATGTTTAAAACTTTGCTATTCTATCAATTAAAACTTTAATACTTAAATTGTATTCCAGGATCAGCAGCACCAAACAACCTCTGGGAGTCTGGGATGCAGAATCTCAGGCCCACCCACGATCTACTGATTCAGAATTTACATTTCAGTAAGACCCCCTCCTCCTGGGATTCTGAAGCACACTAAAGTTTCAGAAGATTGCATTTTAAAAAAATAAAAACTCCATCAACAAGTCTATGAAAAAATATTAGTACTATCTGTGTCAAAGGGATGGTATCCTATATATGCAGATGGTTCATATAAATCAGCAAGAAGAAAATAAATACCCTAATAGAAAAATAGATAGAAAATTAACAAAAAAGAAAACAAACTTGTTTATGTCTTTCATTGTATCTAACAGAATGTTTTTCACTAGAAATCAGAAAATTCAAATTCAAGTAAAATACTATTTTTATTAATAATGAAATTGGCAAAGATGGAAAAGAATGGTATTATCCACTCTCGTGGAAAAGAATTCAAGGAAATAGGCACACTTCTATACTGCTGGAGAATATGTAAATTGGTGAAAGTTTCTGGAAGAAAGTTTGACATTAACTATGGAATATCTTAAAATTGCATAAATCATTTGACCCAGCACTTGCTATTCTGTGAATTTGTTTTCAAGAAATATAAACTGAGACATATGCATGAAGAGTTATCAGCATTATTCATGACAGTGGAAATTTAGAAACATCCTGAGTGCTCAACAATAGGCAGTACCATTACAGAAGTAGATCACCCAATCTTCCTTCTGAGGAGTGGCTGGTGGGTTTGAACTACCAGGCTTCTGGTTAACACTACACTACCAGAGCTCCCAATTAAGTATAATGCATCTAAATGGTGGCATTATTATTCAACCACTAAAAACCATGCTGTAGAAGAATATTTAATGCACACAAGAGGAATGTCATTATATATACATATCCAGGTATGAAAACAATTGGAAAAGCAGATATCCAAATGGTAATAGGAATATACACACAGACATACTGTTGAAATATGGGTGACATTTTTATTTGTCTATTTTTCTGTCTTTCAAATTTTCTGCAACACAGATTTATTATTTTGGTAAGTGGAAAACACAAGATTTTGCAGTGGTATACTAGAGTCAGTTTATACTGACCTACAAGAGCCCAACTGTTAAACTTACAGTATTTTCATGAGTTAGCTGAAAAACACACCCATTATTACAGATAAATCATGTAAACTTACTATTAAAAAACAAAGGTAATAAATGCTTAAAACTCATCACTTCTTAATAATGTTACTATTATTTATGCTGAGATTATTTATTATCTATTATATCTGTATGGTGGAAATGCTATATAATGGTATGCTAATGTGTATTCCCAACTCTGTGTTCAGCGACATCATGGTGGAGGCTTGAAATCACCCTTACTGGGAGTATTTACACTATGGAGCCTGGCAAACAATAAAATCAGGACTTTTCTCCTTCCTTCAGAGTGATTAAGGCATCGGACTGCTAACCAGAAGGTTAGTGGTTCAAACCCACCTGCCACTCTGCAGAAGCAAGACTGGGCAATCTACTTCCATAAAGATTTACCACTTCAGAAACCCAATGGGAGTTGCTGTGAGTTGGAACCGACTCAATGGTAGTGGGTTTAGAGAGCCAGTTGTTAAACGTTTACCAGCACAGCACCAACTTTAAGCAACCACTTCTTGTAAAAACAGAGTATGGCCCTTTTGCAGAGGGGTAGGGGAAGGGGACCCTACCCTTCCTATATAATGATGAGCAAATTAGAGAGGGGAAACGATAAAATTACTTTGGATTCCTTCAGGGCTGTTTCAGTGTCAAAAATGCAGACATGGCAGCATCTAATTCTCACAGTGATCAGTTACTTCAACTCAAGCTAGCCCTAGTTTAGAGTTCACGTTCCTTTTTAAAGTCTTAACCTAGGCATCTATAACCCCTCTGAACCTCTATGGGATTCCACAGGCTACAAAAATAGGGAAAAGGATAACTGCCCTATATACTCTCAAGTTTTAGATGAATGAAATTAGTTATATATTTGAAATACTTTGTAAATCATGAAATATAAGACATGCTCCTGATATTATTTATCACATTATAAGGACCACATAAACTTAATGTGCTCATATTTATCATATACTCATGCTGTACAAGTTTTATAAAACTTTGTAGCCACAAAAGCAAAATTATTTTCATTTATTCTCCTCTAAAATATTATTTTAATAAAAATGCTCACAAAATGCCAAAGCCCAAATTTTCTCCCTCTGTTTAACAGATCATGATGTCATCAGTGCCAATAATTTTTTCTGGAAATAATCATCAGTGTATGTAAAGTATTGATAATTATATGTGTTTCAAGTACCTGAAACCACTGAAGAATCTGCAAAAGATGATTCTGATGAAATATTTTCCATGTCCCAGACATCTTTCTCTGAGATTGGCTGATCTGAGGCAGAAAGAAGTGGCTCTTTAGGTTCAGGATCATCTCTTTGTGATAAGTTCTCAGTCTCTGTGAATAAAAGCATTAGAATGTAAACAGTAGTACAAGGTAAGTTTATTTGTTGTTTGATACAGTATAAAAAACAAATCGAACTCAGTGCCATCCAGTCAATTCCGACTCATAGTGACCCTCATTGGGTTTTCTAGGCAATAAATCTTTCGGAAATAGATTGTCCCATCTTCCTTCCATGGAGTGGCATAACTGTTACTGTTATCTTGAAAATAAAATGGGTGCTCCTAATAGAAGTTTGGGAGCTCTGGTAGCATAGTGGCTAAGACACTTGCCTGCTAACCAGACGGCTGGTGGTTCAAACCCACCAGCCACTCCTCGGAAGGAAGGTTGGGCAATCCTACTTCCGTAGTGATACTGCCTTGGAAACCCAAGGAGGGGTCGCTATGAGTCGGGTTTGACTCAACGGCACATAACAACAACAACAACACAATAGAAGTTTACCTGAATATACTTAAATCCTTTGAATTACCTGAACATACTCAAAGCTTTTAACCAATATAAACAGCTGTTACCGTTATTTGGGAGAAAGGCCTGCTGACTTGTTTTCATAAAGAGCAGACACAAACAGTACAACCAGGAAAACCCTAAGGGAGGCTCTACTCTATCGCATGGGGCTGCTCTGAGTTGAAAATGAATAGACAGCAACCTAACAACAATTACTATTTTAAAATTAAAAAGGGGGTCCCTAATAGAGATTGACCTATTCTATTTACTTGTTTACTTCAATACTTTGACATTTTGAAAGATTCAGAACATGGTTTGTGATATGCCACAGTAATTTCATTTTTAATATGGACACAGTGAATGATTATTTCTGATGACCAGATTTTATCTAAAAAGACAATACAGAATTCTGCTAATCCCAAAGAAAGTGAGATAGTTTCCCAGGTGACCAGCATCTTTTAAAGAGCAATTCACTTATTTAGTAATACAAAGTACATTGAAGGCTGAATTAATGGGAATGCAAATTTGGTGACTTTTTTCTTTAGCTTGTGCTCTTGCCATTTTGTTTCCTCACTGTGTGTTCTATTCAAGATGTACATCTGTTTAATGTCAGCCTAAATTCATATATTCTGAATTCCTGGAGATTTCTTTCTTTTTTTAATTCAATGAAAAAGCCTGTGTTCTTCCTTTATCCTTCAGTCCATCCCTCCCTTCCCACCTTTCTTCCTTCACCCAAGATGTCAATGTTTTATTAAGGCCTATATGGTATACAAAGGAAAACAAGAATTTCTATCTTTCTGAAAGTACAACCTATCAGAGGAGACTGATGCCATAAGGGAAATAATTCCTTAAAGTATCCTTTGAGATTACCATCCTAAACAGTAAGAGAGGGAGCTCTGGTAGCGTAGTGCCTAAGGCACTTGACTGCTAACCAGAAGGCTGGAGGTGCAAACCCACCAGCCACTCCTCAGTAGGAAGATGGGGCAATCTACTTCCATAGTGATACTGCCTCGGAAACCCAAAGAGGGGTCACTATGAGTTGGGACCAACTCGATGGCACATAACAACAACAACAAACAGTAAGGGAAAATCATATCCAGCTGTGTATCGAGAATTTTCTTAAGAATATTGCTATGACTTTAGACAAGAAGCCAGCTTCACACTGTTGGACCTAGGTATGAAGTATGTTTGGGATTTAAAACTGTAATAGATTGTAACTGACACCTTGTTTTTGGCTTACCATAGAAGTTCTTCATATGTTGTTGTTGCTAGTTGTTGTTAAGGCAATTCCAACTTATCGCACCCCTATGTGCTGCAGAGAATTGTTCCCTAGCGTTTCCTTAGCTGTAATCTTTTCTTTTCTTTTTTTAAATTTTATTGTGCTTTGGGTGCAAATTTACAGGGCAGAATTTGTTTTACATTCCACAGTTTGTGTCCATTTGATTTCACACCCTGATTACCATCCGCCCTCTATAACAAACTCTCCTCCCCTCCCGTTCCTGTGACTACCCCCTCCCTGTGCCCTTCTTAACTATACATTCTTATCTCTCCAGCTTTCCCTCTATGTCAATGCTGCCTCTCTGGTGCCCCATGGCCGATTGCTCTAAGGGGTTTATTTCCCTAGACTGGGTGGGTGCATTGCCCTGGGATAGGTACTCTGCATGTAGGTCTTTCTACTGTTGGGCTGACAGCCAACACATGGGAGTGAGTCCAATTCTAGGCCTGAAGGGTAACCCGGGGCCACGGTCTTGTCTTGGTCTGGGGCTTCCACCAGACTCTATCCAAGCAGTAATTCTGGTCTTCTTTGCGTTTTTGGATTTTGTTCTGCATTTTTCCTCTTACTCCATGCAGGATCTCCAGGCTTGATACCCTTCCGAGCAGCTAGCACTGGCAGCTGGGCACCATCTAGTTCCTCTGGTCTTGGGGTCCAGCATCTCCTTGGACTAATTGTTTCCAGATGCCCTTGATTTTCTTCACTCTTCTTTGCTTCAGATGAGAGGAGATCAATAGTTGCATTTCAGATGGCTGCTTGGAAGAACTTAAGACCCCAGTCTCCAAAGCAGGTTGTAGAATAAGACTTTTATGTACTATGTTGTGCCAATTGAGCTTGGTGTCTCCTGAGACTATGGTCTTGAGTCGGCAGGTCCAGTGATTCTTTCGCTCAAGGTGTATGGTTGTCTCTGAGAGGCTACTCCAACTCTGTCCTCTGTTGCCTCTGCAATGCATGTGGCTAGTTCTGCAGCACAAGTGCACATGCAAGACTATCCTCAACCAAATCTATTCTTAGCCTAGGGTATATTCCTGTTCGCCAACTCCTACCTGATTTTCTCACTTGTCTATGCATTTATGTGTAGCCTGGTGTTTGGTGTTAGTGGTAATGCAGTATTGTACATATACTTGTATTTGCCTCTGTTATCTATATTTTATGTGCATGTCCTTCCTTTCCCCAATGTCATCATGTTGGTCACAGACTCTTTCCATACCATCCCTCCCCTCAATCAAAAGGTGTAATCTTAATGGAAACAGATTGCCAGGCTTTTTTAAAATTTTTTTCCCACAGGGCCACTGGGTGGGTTCAAACTGCCAACCTTCAGGTTAGCAGTCAAGTGCAAACCATTTGCACCATCTAAGGACTTTTACATATATTAAATCACTTAAACCTTAAAAAGGAGTCCTGCTCAACAAAAGGTCAGCAGTTGGAACTCACTAGCAGCTCTGTGGGAGAAAGACATGACAGTCTGTTTTCATCAAGATTGTTGTTGTTGTTATGTGCCGTCGAGTCAGCCCTGACTCATAGCAACCCCTCCTTGGGTTTCCGAGGCAGTATCACTACGGAAGTAGGATTGCCCAACCTTCCTTCCGAGGAGTGGCTGGTGGGTTTGAACCGCCAGCCTTCTGGTTAGCAGTCAAGTGCCTTAGCCACTATGCTACCAGAGCTCGGGGCAGTTCTACCTTGTCCTATAGGGTCACTCTGAGTTGGAATCAATTTGACAGCACACAACAACAACAATCCTCAAAATAACCCTTGTTTGCTTTTGTAAGTTGCCATCAAGTTGATTCCAATTTATGGAGACACCAGGATGTAAGAATATTTTTACCCTTCTTACACAGAAGATGAAAATGAGGCATAGAGAGGGCAAGTACCGGGTCACCTGTCCAGGTAAGCGAAGGATACAGGATTTGATGGATGAGTGCCTGGACCCAGAGCTTGGATCCTAATCACTACAATAAACACAGCTAATGTTGTTCTGGCCATCATGACCCAGCAGAAAAATGCCTCTAACTGAGAAGGACTTTTTAACACAGTTATACTTCATAACAGAAACAGAAGCAACGGCAGCAGATACTCTGGAAGTTGCTGGTGGACAAATCCTATAATTATTGCCTGATATCTTAAAGCTAGATCGATCCCCTCCAACTCAGTAAGGTCCCCAAATCCTTGAGTAATTCCAGAGAGAAGGGAGAGGTGCAATGAGCATCTAACTTTCTGGGTATCTCAAACATAGTGCACCACACAGCATTTTTTAATTTGTTTGTTTTAGGTGGAAAAAAGGACCATGCCCAAGTATCTTGATTGTATTTCACTCACTAGGATTAATTTGCACAAAAGTTCATCAATGCCATTTTATAATTCATTAAATTTTTTAGGTAACTTGTAACAAAAATATTTGTCTCTATCTCTGTCTCTCTGTGTTTATTTCTCTTCAGAGATATGTGTGTACATGTGCATGAGGACACATGCTCATACATAAAAAAACCCAAGCCACTGCCATTAAGCAGATATGAACACTAAAAAAAACACTGCCACTGATTCATGGTAATCCCATGTGTTATAGAGCAGAACTTCTCCACAGGGTTTTCTTGGTTATAATCTTTATGGACAGTTCAACAGGACTTTTCTTCCATGGAGCCTCTGTGTGGGTTCGATCTACTAACCTTTAGGTCAGTAGCCAACTGAAGACTGTACCACCCAGACTCCTTTTATATACATATATACCTGTATTTCAAACTATTGGACAAAAAAAGAAAAAGACATTTCATAAGTACAACATAACATAGCATAACAAGCTGTTTATGCTAATCGAGTAACTGTACTTTATTACTCAGATTTATTTTCTTTTATAGCACTTATGACTAGCTGTTTTTATTTTGTAAAATTAATTTCAAAAATTGTTTACATTCCTTTAGAAAGTGTCATCTATGCAAGCACGGACTTACTTGTATGTCTTGTTTGAACCTATATCCCTAATACCCGGAACTGTCTGGCACCTACTAGGTACTCAATAACTGTTAGTTGAATGATTGACTGAATGAGATAAGTGAAATAACTTTCTGAGGATTATAATTCATTTAACTCCTTTATTGCCAATTAACTTTTAATTTATATTACATATGATATTCTTAAAAATATATAATGCAAACTAAGAAAAGAAAAATAAGATGGTAATTTCACATGAGTTTACTAATTAAACAAGTAAAAAGGCTATAAGATGTTACTATTATTAAATAATTTTTTAAACTCACAGTAAATAATATCAATGTTGGCAATTACATTTAAAAAAAAAAAAAACTCACTGCCATTGAGTTGATTCGACTCATAGCAACTCCTCCTTGGGTTTCAAAAGTATCTTTATGGAAGTAGATTGCCCGATCTTCCTCCCGAGAAATGGCTGGTGGGTTTGAACTGCCAGCCTTCTGGTTAGCAGTCAAATGCCTTAGGCACTACGTTTTCATCAAATACTTAATAAATTGCTTAAAAATTCATATAAATGCTCAGAAGAATATGCAACAGAATTATAATAACAACTAAACTATTTTATTCCCATTTATTTGTGCACACTTAATGTTCAAAATATCTTGATAGAAGTTTCAGGCAATCTCCTTGTTTTCAAAATAAGATGATAATAGAAAGAAAATTGGGCTAGAATTAACACCAATATTCCCACCCAGTTTGCTGAGTTTTGTGGTCTTTAGAGAGTCAATCTTTTCCCAGGTATCTGTTTCCTTATTAGTAAAAGGATTGAAACAGACGCGCTCTCAAATTTATACAGTTTTAAAATTCTGACTCTAAATTCCCAGTGTTTGACATTGTGTCTATAGGTTTCATTAAACTCTCAATTACTAGGAAAATGTGCAAAATCTTCCTTAGCAAAATTAGAAATACCTGCATTGCTTTCAAAGCAACTGGGGCCTGTTAACTCTAGGACAAGGTTATTATTTCCTGTTTGATTCAAAACCATCAGAAATGTAGAAAACCAGTTGTCTTTCTGCACAATTCTTTTCAGTAGCTCTCTTATGCCTGATTCATTTCCATAGGTTTCTGCAGCAGAAATCTGTTTTAAGAGAAAAATAGAATTAAAGGAGATAAAATATCTTCTGAAAAAACTTAAACAGGAACTACTCATCAGAAAAACTGAACAGTTAGTGTAAGTATAAATAAAAGGTTAGATTAAAACACTAAAGAAAAACAGCAATGCTACTTGTAGTAGTTTTAAATCAGGGGTGGGATTCTCTGGGCAAAGCACCCTTTTAAATGTGTTCCATTTTTCCTTTTTTAAATAAAGATAATGAAGTATTAACACCTGACACTTAGGAAATAAATGTTTTACCTTAGCCATTCTGAGTAACAGGTGCAAGAGAATGTGTCTAAAACCATGTTTTGTCTATTTGCACCAATTTCTTTCTGTATGTCTAAAACCAAACAAAAAAAACCAGCTGCTGCTGAGTTGACCCTAACTCACAGCAACTCCATGTGCTCAGAGTAGAACTGTGTTCCACAGGGTCTTCAAAGCTGTGACCTTGATCCCTAGCCATCCTTTCCAGGGGTTTCTGGGTGGATTCAAACTGCAAAACTGTCTGCTAATAATTGAGCACTTAACCATTTGTGCCACCTGGGGAACCACTGAGACTATGGCCCCTCGCTGCCCTTCAGGTCTGGAATTGAACCCACACCCGTGGTTTCCAGCCAAACAAAAGACACGCATATGAGTTGAACATGTACCTGAAGTAGATACACTTGTTGGAGAGAACAATCATGGAAGAAAGAGGGGCTGGTTATGCATAGGGAGACAGTTCAAGGGGCAGGAGTGTGTGGAGGGCTGGACACAGGGAAGAAGTAACTATTGGGAGGAAGTGGGAGGGGAGCTGTTGCATTGGGGTAAATTATAGTCAATGTCATGAGACAACGTGTATGTGAACTGCTGTATGGAAAGTGAGTTTGCTCTGTAAACTTTCACCCAAATCACAATC